AATGAGGTCAGAGTTCAGATTTAATCATGGCAGACATCCACCATCACCACCATCTTTCCTCCATCTATTCTGCTTTTGCTGTACTGGAAGCATCTTCTCAGTGTCAGGTCGTGGCTGGCATCGTCTTAGTTGGAGCAGAAAATAAAATTTACATTTCCCTTTTTGTCACATCTCAAGGTCAAAGAGAAAAAAGAAGGCCAGAAAAACAAAACAACAACAACAACCGTAATGTGCTTTGTTGCACACTTCTGCCTTTCTTCATTAGAAATAGTATCAGATGCTCTTTGCAAGTCCGACGGATGAGCATAAATCTGTAAATCCTAAAAACATACATTAACCACTAGGAAACAGTATGCCATCAAGAGGACATCTTTCAGCTCAATACCGGATGACAATGTCTGTGAGAGAGATTTATCTTGTCCTGAAGGATTAGTTCAGGTTAAATTTCTCTCCGATTTTCAGACTTACTTAGCAGCAGGGCCAGTGGTCATTTAGAGAAATGAAGTGGTCACCAAAACTGTTGGACAGACTGCCACAAAACAGTGAGAACAATATTTATGGTCCTGTGAGGAGAAACTCAGATGTTTTGGATGATCTTGTTTGTTTTCCTTTAGTGCTACCACATAGTTAATATCTTGAGCTTATAATGAAACATCTTGACTATGACACAGTACTTTGTGAAACTCTTGAGCAACTTGTCCTGGGTATATCCCGCCTCTCACCCTGTGATAGCTGGGAGAGACCCCAGCCCCTCGTGACCCTCAACTGGTTAAGCAGAAGGGGATGGATGAATGGATGGATGCGTGAGATAGATGAACCGATGTTGTGTATTTTAAATTGTGTCTTTGTTATAAACACTCTGTTACAAGAACACAATTAGTTTCCCATATTTTTGCAAAAGATAACACAGTTTGACAAAATAAATGAGTGTTTTAGCACCAACAAGGTGATTTAAAGAGCTGAAAACTTGGCATATGGTGGCACAGTGTACATTTCTCCTCGAAAAACCTGAGTACTTTGGACAAGAGGAGGACAAAAGAAAAAGCAGCTGGCCTAAAAAACTATTTACAGCAGATAAAAAGTATCTGAAAGTTCTGTCTTTTAAGAAATATCTGAAAGAGATGCACCTGGCCCTTGAGTAGATCCATCTACTGTTCACTAAAGCCTCATCAAAAATGGTCTCAGTGGATGAATGGCTGTCAAGAAGCCATTCATAATGAAGGCGGACAGGAAGAACAGGATGAGGTGTGCCAAATTACACAACAACTGGACTGAAAATCAGTGGCAATGGGTCTGATGGAGTGATGAATCCAAATCTGAAATTTTTTATTCAAATTATCATCAATATGTTCAGAGGAGGTCAGGAGAGAAGTGCAACACTGAGTGTCTACAGCCATCTGTGAACAATACTGTACTTAAAGAATCTACTAGAAAGTTTTCCTGAGAGAGGCTGTGTTGAGGACTAAAGGTGATCATAGCAAATGTTGACTTTCAAGCTGATTAGAATTGCACATCTCTGTTTTATATACCTTATATAGCGTATTTCCTGGCTCAAGCACAGTGCCATACAAATTCTCTAACTGTCCTTTATAATGCAAACAGTAGCACAAAGTTTCTATTTATCAAATCAACTGGTTAATTTACAAATACTTGCAAAACTAAAGACATCTACTTCAGCTAAAAATGAACTAAAAAACAATATTGCTTTACAGACATCATCAATTTAATGTTAATGTTACCAGTAAGTACAGAGTGAGCCTACATCTGGACAACACATGTGACACTTAACTCTTATTGGGTATTCACTGGATACAAATCTTACAATAAGCATATTTTTGGAGCAGACTTGTAGCAGACTAAAAAATCATGAGTACATAATTTACATCATATCAGTTTCAGCGGTAAGCTGTCATTTCATTGGTCTCAGAAAAACTTTTTTAAAATACAAAAACAAGCTATACAATCACTGATATTAGTTTTGTTTTATTCCAAAAGAATAAACTAATATTAAGCAACAATGAGATTAGAGTATTATTTTCTGATAATACTGTTAAATACTCAAAGGAGCTTGCAAAGAAAAGCGTCTGGACTTCTTTAAGTTGCTTGAAGACGTTTCACCTCTCATCCGAGAAGCTTCTTCAGTTCTAAGGTCAAATGGTGGAGAGTCCCAGATATAAACCTAGTGGGAGTTTCCCCCCACAGAGGGACAAAAGGACCCCTGATGATCCTCTAATCGCCTGAGCCAAGGTGTGAAACTGGGTGTGGGTCCCAATCAGCCAGAGTTTCGGGTGAGTTCATTGTGAAACCTGGCCCCACTTTATCATGCGAATTCCTGAGGTCAGATGGCCCAGGATGTGAGTGGGCGTTAAGGCGTCTGGGAAGGGATCTCAAAACTGGATTATTCAAGCAACTTAAAGAAGTCCAGACGTTTTTCTTTGCAAGCTCCTTTGACTACGATGACCTGGATGACTGAGAACCTTCACAGACACTGTTAAATACTCAATAATTTTCTATAATTCTTAACCGGTGCCCTCGTTAAAGGGACTTCCTGACAATATCCAGACAGTTGCTCTGTACATACAGACATCCTGCATGGGAAGGGCACATGCTAATCCTCAAGCTAAAATCCCCTCTGACCAGATGTTGCAGCTTACAGGGACAGACTGGGCACAAAATTAATGGCTATCACATGCTCCCTAATGAAGGGATTGAACAGGGCATAGTCCTGTAGTGTCTGGGAGGTCGTCCATGTTCTGCTGTGGTTCACTGGCATCAAATTAATTGTGTCCCACTTCTGTCTCACCTCTTATTTCTGTCCGTCTGCAGTGAAAAATATGACCTATGGAACTATCGACAGTGCAGAGAAAGGTCTTTGATAAAAAGAGGCAGCGGTGGGGAATGGGTGAGGCTGACATAACGATAAACATACAGAGAAGGGTGACGGAGAAGGTGTGGGAGAAAGAGAGCATAAGAGAAACGAGTGACAACTTATCGGCAAAATTCCTGTTTTCATTTTAAAGTAGTTGCTATTTATTAGGGATTCCCAATGGTCAGACACAAATAGCCACGTGCTAATCAGATCCAGTTTTAAAAGATTAGCTTTAAGCAAAAGCTATGTAACCTCTGGAACACCACCCAGTGATTGACGCATGTTTAAGGTGGAATTCTTTTAACGCAGCTGTACAAAACAGATCGATAAATGGATTTTGACAGATGTGGCTAATGAATTTTGAACGTCACAACCTGGAAGGAATATGAGCGGCTCACCCATACACACACACACGCGCGAGCACACACGCACACAAACAAAGAACATTCAACTAAATATTTCATCTTCCCTCAGGGTCATTTGAATATGATCACTATCTTGATCGTGAAAGGTCTGACCATCTGTACAAGCTTGCTAAATACTCATAAACAGAGCCAACTTATGCACAAGATCCACTTAAACACACACACAGGTGCACACACACACAGACACTCAATCACTGCATCCATAAGACTGAGTATAGAGCCTCTGGATCCATTAGTTATAATAAGCTGAAATTTACCAGTAATGCATCCTACAGCCGTAGAGGAGATATCAGATGGTTATATTTACCATCTGAATACCAATGAAGTAGCACAACATGAATAACCTAATTGAAAAGGACTGGCTTTTTTATACACATGTGAAAACGTTTTCACAGGACCACACAGAGTCGTGTGAAAAACAAAGTACACCCGGCGATTCAACAGCTGTAGAACCACCGTTAGCAGCAAACTATTTTTTTCACTCATTCTGTTAGATATCTGCTGCTTTGCATCATTGTCTTTTTTCATGACCCATTTTTATGCTTAAGCTGTCGGACAGACGGCCTCACATTTGACTCTAGAATACTTTGGTATACAGCTCAGTGACTGCAGGCTTCCCATCTCCTAAAACAAACCAAAATCCTCACCCCTCCACCACCGTGCTTCAGAGGTGGTATGAGGTGGTGTGCTGGTATGTCAAAAGGACGTTGTTACAGAAGTGTTGTGGTTCGTTCAGATGCAACGAAAACTGAAACTTTTTTGTTGTTGTTGTTCTGTTTGTTTTGGGGTTTTTTTGCAGTTTCTTTGAGAATTGCACAGTTGGACTTTGGGGTGAATTTACTTGGAAGATTGTGAGACTGATTGCTCCAGACCAGCCAACTGCCAAAGCTTCTGCTTTTATAAAGGTGCTCAGACTTCCTGATAGTCACTTAATGAAATGTATTTGGTTAGCAGGACCTTGATGATATTTACCATCTTAATTCCTGTTGTGTACTTAGTTTTCACATGACAGTGAAGAGTCCTGTGGAAACTTTCTTTCTGTTTGTTTCCCTGAAGCCAATAAAGTAAACGTATCAACAAATATTGGGGAGGGCCAGCAGGAAGAGTCTCGGTATCATTCAAAAACACACACTATTTCATTTTAACACAAATGTGCTGATATATCCTCATAATGATGATAATAACCCATGTTCAAGTGGATGCTATCCAGATACTTAATGTGATCAAAAATATGGCACAAATCAGACAACAATGCACATTTTGATGAAACTCAGGTTTGCTGAGGTGAAGATAATTGCAAAGCACACTGGAGTGTTATATACTGAGCAGCACATTGTGCAGCAAATCATCCCAGCGTGAAGCGCACTATTACGCTTTTATTAAAGCCTCTCTGAAGCGCGGCAGCATCAGCAACGGGGTGGCAAGTGTTGCCATGCTGCCAGGGTAAGTCGGCATGATGATATGAAGGTGATATGAACTAGAGCATGATGTGATTGGACTGAGCCCGCACGCCAAACAGCGAGATGATGAAGGGGGTGATGAGGGAAGAAAGGCGGAGGATGAGAAAGCAGAGGGGGGAGGGGGGGGTATGTGGATATAGTGGAGTTCAAACAGGTAAGAGTAAGGGGATTGGATGGGGTGACCTGATCGGGGGGATAAGAGAAATGAGACAGCAAGGGGAATTGGAGAAGAGGAATACCACTTACCTTGACCCTGTGCCTTACTGGGGTAATAGGAAACAAGGGCCAGTAACACCAGTGGAGCCCACAAACACCAACTGATCTGCCCCATTGACAACATCCTCAAAACCAGCAGTCTAGACCTGCAAGGACAGAAAACAGATCAGCAAGAAAGAAAGAAACAAGAGCGGAGATTTAACTGCATGAATGTCACTCGGCTGCGGGGCGACTCAGTGCTTCAGTTCACTGATCTAGAATCAGTTATTTTGTTTGATATCAACTTTTTTAAGAGTTACAGAGCAGAAGCTTCACAGTCTACACTGACCACAGAGCTGCAGCTGAGCCTCCCGCCTACACAAAACGAGCCAGAAGCAAAACAGTGGAGCACTTTGTTAGAAGAGAAGAGAAGAGAAGAGAAGAGAAGAGAAGAGAAGAGAAGAGAAGAGAAGAGAAGAGAAGAGAAGAGAAGAGAAGAGAAGAGAAGAGAA